GCAATAGGTCTAAATTTTACATTCTTATCACCAAATGCTTTCTTGGGTACAGGAATTATCTTCATCTTTCTCCACATTTTCGGTATGAGATTAGATGAGAAGGATCTGTTAAATATAGTTGTGAACGGATGACACAGAACGTCAGCACATTTTTTAAAAAGGATGTTTGGGATACCATCAGGACCCAAACATCGAGATGAATTAAGCGACTGTAGACATCCTCGTTCATCAGTTTCAGTGAAAGTATGAACACAGCTATTTTTTAAACCCGTGGATAGAGGGAGCATCACATCAGATGACTGACGTACAAAAGACTTATTTAAGTCACAAACATTCAGCTGGTTATCGCTTCTAAACTTTCTGTCACCTGTAAGTTCTTTAAAGTATTTCCACATACTTGTAGAGTTTTTGCAAGATAATAGTTTTTGAGTAAACATGCAGTTGAGATGTCTAATCTCTAGGTTTATCAGACCATTTAGCTTACGAACTTCATTTGAGTTCTTCTCCTTGTACATTCTTTCTTTCAACCTCCGTAGTCGTTTTAGTTGTGAAGATGTAAGTCGATCAAAACTTACAAAAGTGGTTTCAGTGGGACAACAAATATCAAAACAGAATTTAAGGTAACAAGTGATAACATCAGTAGTGTTTTCGAGTGAGTCATCTGTAAATAATTCCCAGTTAGTCGTATGAAACATGTTTTTTAGATTTCGGATATTTTCTTCTGAGTAATTCCTATATTTGACTTTCTTGGTTTGATGTAAGAGTGTACTCTTCCCATGCTTTCCATATACTTTGGGTAGAACACGAATTAAACAGTGATCTGAGCTAGACAATGGAGCACGTTTACGAGTTGCATATATACCCACATCATTAATGAAAACGAAGTCTAAATGAGCATCCAAGCGAGTAGGAAAATCTACTACGTTTTGGTGACCTAGTGACGTAAGGAAGCTACAGTCACATGAATTGAAATCACCACATACAACTGAAAGTGAATCACTGAAGGCAGTAACAGCGAACTCAGTGAATTCATCGGCAAAAACAGATAGTCCAGATGATGTGCAATCTGGAGTAACGTAGATATTGGTAACATAAACATATTTGTATTTATTCAGATGTTTTGGACGACATCTTAGAGTTAGACAGTCGATAAAGTCATTTGAAAACTTAAAACACACAAACGAAGATCGACACCAGTTTATGTTTACAAACGTAGCTACACCGCCACCACACCTTTTTTTATTGTTCGATCGATCCTGACGACAAATTTTGAAATCATGTAGTGATACAAGGCAGTCATCCTGTAAATCATTCAACCAAGATTCTTGAATTGTGATGACACCACAATTACGATACGTATTTTGACTAAGCAGGAATTGCAGATAGTCCACTTTGTTGATTAGTGATCGGCAGTTAGAATTTAGTAGCTCGGGAATCGACATACGATTGATGTTCATTCTCTTTAACGCATATTGCCAACCACCACGATGCCTTTTATAGTACTTTTTCGTAACTTGTGCAGCGAAAGGTTGTAGGCTTTTCATAAAAGCGCCTGAATAGGTTATGCGGTTAATGGACATAATTATAAATTAAAACAAATGAAAAACAGATAAATTGTTGAAATAATCAGATGGCAGAAACAGGTAGCCCAGATATTCAAGCAGGCCGCCTATAGTTTTATATATCAAATATAACTTTTTTCCGCAACTTTAAAATCAAGTTAGAAACAGACAGTGTTAAGAGAAAACAAAAATAATAGAAAACATTTTACTGAAGTTGTTTTGTGACTACTAATGGAATACAATGAACGCGTATTGTCTTATTCGGGACTCATAAAACGTGTTAATGTCCATATTAACACCAGGACTAGGTTTCTATCGCTTCAATCCCCGTGATATACTTATCTTTTAGATCCATAAGGCTACTATCAGTCTCAGTTGATTTAAAATATTAGTAAGCATTGTCAACAAGCTGCTGTCAAAATGAATGTATATCAAGCTCAAAAATCACACGTGTTATTAGATGTCTGAAGTAGACCTAACTGTTGGAAATAATCTAACTGTATGAAAAATTAAAACGAACAATGTCACTTAGTTAATGTGCTCAAAATGAATACATATTATTTGAAACTTATTGAATTTACTCTTTGATTAAAAAAACAAACAAACAGGAAACTTTGAAGACTTACATACATGAGAAACTTCTGTCAACTTATAATAGTTGTAATTATTCCTAAACTTTACATCAACACCTAACAGATTAATAAAACAAAACAGCATATAGAACAGATAATAAAGAAAATTACCATTTTCTATTTATCTAACAAAACAAAACTGTAATGAATTACTTGATGACATAATTTATGTTAATCAGTTAGTGTATACTTCATTTGAGTTGATTCATTTCAAAACAAATAGTTTAGTTCATCGAATGTTCAGATTATTTATTAAATCATGAATACATAATCATTTTAACATTTTGAATTTATTTATACATTTAAATCACTTTCTTGTCTAAAAACAAAACATAAAAACAGGCAGGAAATGCTAAAATAACATGAACCAAACAACTAACATTTGATGGTGGTTGAAGGTAGTCAAAAGGAAACCCTAGACGCGGGTTTTGTGCCAATTGGTACTCATCAGCAAGGTGTGCCTGTAATCTTGAGGGAACTGGTGCTTCCTGACGGATTCGATCCCATGTCACCCAGTCCACAGTCAGAGACGTTACCACTAGGCTATCTGAACCGCGACCGACCTCCTGTGGGGCTGAGATGTAATCACAATTGATTGATCACTGGGTGGTGATCAATGTCATGTGTGTCAGGTCCTTCTTAGTGCAGATCGAATGCTATCGATCAAGTTGCAGTGTGGCCACTAGTCTAGGTGACTTTACATTGCGTGAAACGGGATAGAATCCGTCAGGGAGCACCAGTTTCCCCAAGATTACAGGTACACCTTGGTGATGAGTGCCACGTGGCACGAAACCCGGGTCCAACGTTTCCTGTTGACTACCTCCAACCACCATCTAATCTCAACACAGTGCACGCAACGTCGAGTCACCTAGACTAGTGGCCACATTGCAACTTGGTCGACAGCATTCGATCTGCACTAAGAAGAACTTGACACACATGACACTGGTCACCACCCAGTGATCAGTCAATTGCAAACAAATAATATACATATATGTTTATACAAATACATCACTGTTTACTTTATATTCAAATGTAAAGACTTGTTATTTGGAATTTATTTATTCATCTTCCTTGAAACATATTCTTATAGGTATTTCTTTGCATATATTATAATATTTGTGAAAGAACCTGAAGTATTCAAGTAGTTTCTAATATGAGTTGATTGATTTAAACTAAACAATAATCGAAAATTTAGGAAGCTCTGATGAATTTTTTACTCTGTTTTACCAAAGAGTATTTGTAAATCCTTTTAGAATGGAACCTAAGATCATCAAGCAATTTAGAAAAAATGAATTAAATTAATAATTTTGGATTCCAATGGTTTATATCATCATCTTTAGTCGATTCATGATGATCGTTTGACATAATTACTACAGCTAAAATTTGTCGAAAACTCATATAGTCAGGTCTCTCATAATTAAGTTGTTAATTAAAATGGATATTGGGAAGCGCTTTATGCATTATTCTTACAGTTCTTTATCACTATACAATTAAGAGATTTGTAACCAATTTTCAATTTTATGAAAACTGGTACATATCTATGTTATTTGTTATTTTCATTATTTACCTCAAGATTACAGTTATAGCATACTAATTAGTAGGATCTTCATTTTTTGTACTGATTGTTTGAATCTTACCATTGATATTCAGGGCTGTAATTGATCAGTCTCTTGACTATCTGAATTCAGAAGCTAAATAGAAAACGTGATGGAGTTTGAGTGAACATCAACTTTGGAATACAGGGACATTCAGCTGATGAGTCCCAAACAGGACGAAACGTGCGTCCTGGATTTCACTGCTAGCCATCATCTATCTCTGCTTATAAATAATAGGTATTTTTAATGAACAAAACGATTGATAAAATGGTCATCCTAATCGTCTCATGTTAATCTGAATAGCATTGTGACACACTACAATGTAATTACAAGTTATTAATTGTTAATAAAATATTTGACTAAGACACATAACTCAATATCATTTCCGTATACGTCTTAATTTTATTTTTCATAAGTTATCAACTAGTATTTGTAACCACAGTTTTCCACTGTTTACTAACAAACAAAATTAAAATGGACATAATAATTTACTTCTATGATTATCTCTTAAAAGACAAATGAATAAGGATGAATAGAATAACGTTTTGAGAATAAAACAGGATATTTTGCATATCTTATAAAACATATAAAGACTTATAAGTAAAGATGGATAGCGGCTAGCAGTGGAATCCAGAACGCGTTTTTTTGTTCTATTTGGGACTCGTTAGCTGGATGTACCTGCATCTGAGAGTTGATATTCACACTGGGACTCAAACCCACAGACTGATCAATTGCAGTCCTAAACATCAATGGTAAGATTCATGTAAATAATACTAAATGAATCTATATATAGACTGTTTAGAAAAAGAGCGAGGATATCAATCGTTTAGTATGTTAACAACTACTTTGAAAATAATAATGTTAGTAAAATATGCTGAATAGATGATAATGTATTAAAAAACTCGAGTATGTTTTCAAAACTAATTGATTAATTACTATGAAACTTGGATATTTTCGTTACCTTTTGTGATAGAGTAGTATTTGTTGAAGACATGTAAAATCAAACAATAATAAATAACATTCTAAACAGTGAATACGTAGATCAACGTCCTCGGCTGAATAACAGAACTTAAAAACTTCATCTACCGAAAATTATTATATGGTTACTTAATCAGAATACAAGAATCAGAATTTCTAACTTTACCCAATTAAGTATATTAATTTATTATTTTAGCTGTATGTAAATGTTTATTTTATAACTTCATTAATAGATTTCTTACAATGTTCATGACAAGTGGAAGTGGAGTGAATTTACGAACACTTCGAGCTGTACGTGTACTACGTCCTCTCAAACTAGTATCAGGTGTACCAAGTAAGTCACTCTTAATTTTATTACTATGATAAAGATTCAGTAAACTGAACTAGACTTTATTGTACTGCAAGAAAAGTTTCCAGTATAATGTATATGACAGTAAACAGTTTAAACAAAAAATTCTTTTATGTAGTTGGAAATTTATTTGATTATTCGTTATAACTGATTTTTGATTCATTGAAATCAAAAGAGCTTAATAATGTGTAGGACGGAAGATTCCATTATACAGTTGGAATCATTCAATAATATACTCAGTTAACAAGCAGACAAAATTGTAATGTAGTATAGTAACAATGAATAATTCTCTTGAAAGTCATTAAATATGTCAAGAATATAAATTAAGATAGGCAATAAAATTGTCTTTTTCAATCATAGAAATAAATATGACCAGTAATGTCGATATCTCTTCTTTGAACTGATACACATTAGTAAAAATAAAGTCTGAGTTATGATGAATTTAAATTTAAATTTTTTTCTACACTCCTCTTGATTATTTAAGATCTTTTTGTTGACCTTCTTCATTAAATAATCGTGACTGTAATTAACAGAATTCAGTGAAATTATAATCACTGGACAAACAACATACTACTTAAAAGTTTCCATTATGTATGGCAATATCAACAGTACTTCAAACGAACTTCACTGTGGCAGAGTTACTCTTATAAACATAATTTACCGAAGATAAAACGAAAGTTACTTGAAATAGCTAATCTTAGTTTTTTTGCATAAAGTCACTGTCAGCTCTTATAGAGTTGTATTGGTTTTTACAGTGGATGAGGTCTAGTGACGTCTATTTCGTTGATAAACAAAAACAGCTTGAGTATTATTATAGACAAAGTATCGAAAAAAGTAATTTTCTAACTCTTTTTATTTTAGAGTATATTCATGATCAACATTTTTATGATTTCGGTGTAAGCTTCATTAAAATTAATTGAAATCACAGTTGACAAATCAGTTTAATTTTTTACTATATGGTTTTTTTGATCACTTTCATTGTGAATTCACTCTTGATTAATTTTCAACGAATGTGTTACCAATTTTGATAGTCTATATATATAGTGAAAACAAATGAAGTACGTTATCTTCCAGTACCTTATAATTGAATGTAAAGCTGAATGTTAAGTAAATTACATTGGTTGAAGTTAAACTTTAACACCGTTGGATGCCAGCGGGTTCATTAGTTTAGAGGTTAAGCGTTCACGAGCGAGACCAACAGGTCCTGAGTTCAGATCCTGCGAGTGGCATCGTGGATGCGCACTACTTTTATGAATAGTTTAATATCTAATTTAGTTATTTTCTACAATGGAATATGACTGTTTAACACTGTTGTATAGAATAATTTGATTGATCTTAAGTTTTCATTAGAAAAATAATGTGAAAATATACTCATTAGTCTTTCATGAAACATTTATGATTACTAAACTTGAGTTATAAATCTGACAAACTTCTACTTATTTGAATTTTACTTTTCATTCAATTAAATATTTTTATTCATAAAAGTATCATGATTTTATTTCTTCCATAGGTCTTCAAGTAGTTTTAACGTCGATTATCAAAGCAATGGCACCATTATTACAAATTGGAATATTAGTATTATTTGCTATATTAATATTTGCAATTGTTGGATTAGAATTTTACTCTGGTGTCTTTCATGTAACATGCTTTGAACAAAGTAAATTTTTATTCATATTTTCTATGTATGCGTTATATTTTCTAGGAATTTTTGGAACGTTCACTTATGTAATTATGAACTGTTTTTTTCTTTTAGTTTAAAGTGCCTAATGAACAGTTGCATTTAATGATTGGAAAAATGATGAGAATAACGACAGTTTTACGAACCGACATCGATTGGGAGACCAATAGTTAGTTATTTTATCTTAATATCGGACTACTCAGAAATTCATGTTCACAACCCTAAACAGCAGTGTACCAAAGTTCTGTGAGTTGAATGACAAGCTTGACACCATTCATTCTTTGAGTCGATATTGAATTGCGTACTATCCTCGATGGAAATAAATTACCTTAACCATTTGACTGAATCTATGTAACTACAATATACAGAAAGATTATCAGTTATACTGAATTATTGAATAAATTTGTTTCACTTAAGTATGGAGGATGTTATAACTCATTACCAAATATCTTCATTAGATAGTTTGATTATAAACAAAATCGGAACAATATGAAATAAAGTTAGATATTCAGCATAATAACATAACTAAGTACGACGAAGCACAGACATTACCTGAAAAAGTAGATGTAACCTGTAATAGATAGCTATCTCTTCATAATTCCGACTTTTCATTTTGAAGACTTTTTAACTTTACTCAGAGTCAAGTCCAAAATATTCGGATTTCTTTATAGTGTATGATTTTATTGATTCATTTCTTTGATATTTAATTACCAATATCTTCGTGTTTGATTAGTTTATAATATAAAAATCAATCGATTGGTAACCGCGTTGTTCTGGGTTTGACTAAATTCATTGAACAAAATTTCTAATATTAAAATATAGGCTAACTTGTCATAGGGTTTGCGAAGATTTGGCCAATTTGATAGCTAATATCCGTTGTGACATCATTTTATTCAAAAAATAGTTTAAGTTCAAAAATTAATGAACCCTTCAATAGTGGATGAACAATCGACATTCAGATCTAATTATTGAAGCCATAGCATTATTGGAAACACAATTCAAATCAGTAAAGAACATATGTCCTAAAAGAACAGTTAATGTTTACAATGACGATAAAAAATTTTATAATAAAGAATTTATCTCAAATAAATACAACTTTGCTGGAAAAACGTGTATCTTATATTGAAGAACATAACTCAATACAGTCGAGTGTAAATATTCACACATAATCCTCATCAAACTATTACACTCAAACAAACACCACTTTTGTTACCAAAATAGAAAATCAATAAGATATTTAGGTGAAATCAACTGATCTAAACATCATATATCATAGAGTTTGTACATTTGGAAAATCATTTCACAGAACCAAATAAAATAATGGACATTAATTTCATACCAGATCAAAATCAATAATCGAATAATTGGTATTATGAAACTAAGAAATTGTGTAATCTTTACAAATATCTTACAGTAAGAAAAATTGAAAAATGAACTGAACATACACGGTTTGAATACATTTCATTAAGGAAAACGTTTTCGACAATAACAATACTATAGAGAAAAACAAATTTGCAAAGATTTGCAGAGGTTATTTCCTAAAATAAATTAACTAAAAATGTATAGAAATAGATTAATGTGTATGCGAATTGACTTGCTAGTTACTGTAATATCCACACACACACAAAATAGCATTCGGAAAATATCAGTATAGGGGTTTTGGAGATCATTAAGTTTTTGATTGAGATCATGAACCGATTGATTTTAGGCTACCGTTGGAAACCTGGAAGCACTGGGCGGCCGTTTCGTCCTATTGTGGAACTCCTCAGCATTGCGCATCCACGATCTCGCTCGTGAGATTCAAACCCAGGGCCTTCAGTCTCGCTCGCGAACGCTTAACCTACTGGACTACTGAGCCGGCATCCAATGGTGTTAATGTCTAACAACATTCAGGAAATATGTGGGGTTTTTTTGTATATGACGGTAAAAAAGAAATTCAGTCGTATATCTAGGCGTTTGTATCGGTGTCATATTTTTTATTATCAACAACATCAACGACAAGAAAAACTTATTTTCTCAACTACAGACCAGTTTTTATTACAGTACAATCATAATTTTTTTCTTCTTTTTAATTCATCGATATCAACAAAATTCCAGAATAAAGAATAAAACAGAATTTATAATTATAATCATATCAATATATTGTTTATTGTTACAATTATAATGTTTGAATAATCAAAGAAATAAATGTTCACTTGACTGTAAACTAATCTAAATAATGAGTTTTTATTATTTAATCATTATTATATACTTTAATAATTATCATAGACGAATATACATTTATTGTATGTTAAATTAGTTACAAAAAGTAATATTTCATTATAACTAAACATTAAAGGTATAACTTGAGTTCATGGTATTTAGGGAGAGGAAGAATTGTGGGAAGGGAGGTATATATATATATATATACGTTGTCTGGACAAGACTCAATTTTTCTATTTTGTCCGCCTTCTACATTGATTTCAATAAATCCATTGACATAAATAATTTGAGTCAAAAAATAATGTAACAATGATTTAGCAAATACATAATTAATAGTTATGTGTCTTTTAAATGTATTGGCAGAGAAAGTTGTATCAGTCTAGAATGAGTTTTTCTATACTTAATATGTATGAAAATTGACAATACTTAAAAACTATTATTAGAGATTTTCCCATAAGTGTATTTTAAAATAGGGGTTTTTTAAGTACATTAATGAAAACAAATACTCGAGTTGCTTCCCTCATAAACAATTTTTAACTGGAAAGCTATTGAAAAGCAGAAAGTATTGCAGAACTATATTTTTTATAGTTAAGATTATTGAATAGTTTATCTCACGTAGGATTATATCTACATCTTTTTCGCTATATTCTTTTTATGACCACCGAGACTAAACATGGTGGTTTACGTTTTGAATTTCAGTTAATTCATTGTGTCGAATTCCACATATGAAGTCATGTCCTTACTGATGTCTACCTTCTAAATGAGTTCCCATTGTTTAATGAGAAACCTTGACCATTGGTGCTTAAACAATCCGAGTAAAACAACCGATGATATTAAATTAATATCATACAATATTACGAGCTTCATAAATTTTGATAAATTGTTTTACTATATTCATTGTTCTAAATTTGCAAAATCAATCGAGTCATTCGCAAACCCTACAAGAGATTATTTGTCCACAATAGCAAGAAGTTTCTGACTAAAGCAGAACAAATGATTAATTGTTCTCCGATTTTCAGCGCTTCTATAAACAGTGGAAGTTTATGAAAAAATTAACTTCATAGTGTACAAGTTTAACAAAAATATTTAAAAATCCCATTCGACATCTGTCTTTTACCCTGATATTTTGACAGCGTAAACAAACACAGAAAATTATGTAGATTAAACTTGAGAAAAGTTACCGAGTAGATGAACCAGAAAATATGATAATTTCTTGAACACAAAAATTAAAAACTATAGGATATTTTTCACTTATTTCTTCATGTGTATTCAAGTGTCGATCCGATAAGATTCACGTGCTTACAGGACTACAAACAGCAAAGTATCAAACACATTTACAATATAGGTCGACCACTCAGATATTGTAGTGAACGAGAACACAGGCGGGAACAACCAAATGTAATTGAAGTTAATATTGCAAAATATTTTGGTAAAATCTGAGAACCATACAGTAAATATTTCATTTTCAGAATATCCATCAATTGTCTCAGACTTTCTCGTTCTCTTGTTTCCATTCCAACCACTCTGCTATCGTTCTCTTCTCTCAGAATTTCTCAACCTTGTGCCACCAGGCATTCCACTTTCGATTGATAATACATACTACTTATATCTGTGGCACATACCACAATATTATTTGTGGGCTAACGTTTTTCCAGATAGTTCTAGAGCTATCTAGTAATAATTATTAGATAAAAACATGAACGGGCATGTGTTGAAATAAGATACAGAACAAAGATGTGAAAGATGATTTTCTACTTGAAGAGTATAAAAGAATAAAGAAGAGAAACCAAGCAGTTGTCAAGAAATAACTAAAAAAATATGAAGGAATGTTAGAATCCTAGGAAACTATGGGATTGGATATACTGCCTTTGAGAAAAATGTTCAGCCTTGAATTGATGAATTATCAAAGCCTCCATTGTATACGAAATAGTTATTTGTTGACACGTTTGTTTTCATTTCCATTTAAGTGAACAATTATCTTTCATACATCTGCTCCATTTCTTACTTCGACGAGTGTTCTTTTAGATTTCTATCTTTTTATAATCGTCCAATAAATAACCTCTCATAGTCTCATGTTTCTATACGGTATTTCATTCTTATTACTCATTGACTACAGGGTAACTTGAAATTCTAATTAAACTATGGTTCTCTATTGATTCTTTGCTACAAACGCTTCGGAAATTGTATACTCTTTTGAGTGATGACAATCTTGATACACATATACCAATCGGAAACTGATCCGTTGTAGTCCTAAAAAATCAAACAAACAATACAAAATGAATTAAAGTATTACCTCATTGCACAAGCTAGTGGCTATCAGGACTCAGTAGCTAAGTAGGTAACGTGATGGGGTTTGAGGCGGACGGTGCTGGGTTAAAGTTCACGAGTGAACATCAACTTTGAGATGCAAGTACATCCAGCAGACAATTCCCAAGAGGGACGAGATGCACGTCCTGAATTACACTGCTAGACACTATCCATCTTTGCTTATAATAGTTATATATGTCCAATAATTTATAGGAGTACAATGTTCGTCTTTAGTTATTTTGAAAACACTGACAAATAGATATAGTTCGAAAATGCTTGTCAATACACAAGTGTGTACCTCTTAAGTTTATTTCTATTTGTTCATTTTTCGATTAAACACTATACCGTGTAATCCATAGATCAGTCAGTAATCGATGGTATGGTATCCATTTGAAGAGAAATTATGCATAAATTCTCATTAGTGCTATTTTTTATAAGATTAATTTATTTGACAAATATTTTTTTACTAATCAACAATAACGGAATATTATAGAGTATTGTGAGTTCATTGTGTTTTGTCTACTTTTCATCTGCATGCACAACCATCCGCCGAAATTCTAAACCATCTTGAAATAATAATACTCCCACAATTATTATAATTACGATTGTTTTTGGAAATAACATTAATTTTCACAGTTTTATTCACCCTGTTCTTAGTAATTTATGATCAAGCTCAGCGACCATCTAATGTAGTATACTGGAAATTGATTAGAGGTATAAATGCTGACCGTTCAGTGCATTTTCATTGATTTAATGGTTGGATTCTTTCCGGATAGCCAGAGAATCCTGGGTTTGACCCCAGATTGATCGTGGATGTTTGCTGCTGACCTGTTCACTACCAGGAAGAGACACTTATCGTGATTTCCAGCAGTACCTCAAATAAGGACAAGCTCTGAAAAATACTCCCTCATAAGCTTTGGAAATTACTTCGTTCAACATTAGTCAACTGATTTACATGATCCATAAACGTCAACAGTCTACATTTCTCAAATATTTGATGTATTAGTAACATATGTTGAAGCATTAACATTTGCTTTTTTTTAAAATAAAACGCTTTTATATTTCTTTGAAGATAATCCAACGGAATTGCCAAGTTTCATACCAGATGCACCTGGTTTAGTACCATGTCAACCGGTGGATACGCATACACGACCACCAGGAGCATTTGTTTGTCCAAGTGGTTATATATGTAAAGGTTATTGGGAGGGACCAAATTATGGCATAACAAGTTTCGATAATATTGGTTATGCAATGTTAACAGTATTCCAGTGTATTACAATGGAAGGATGGACAGATGTACTATATATGGTAAAGTGATTTTGTCAAGCAATAATTAGCACGATTGTTACTAATATACGTTTATTTGTATTTTTTTAACTTTCATGAAGTAATGTTGTCATTCATGTGAATGAACTGAAAACGTATTTGAATAATACTAATGACTCAACGAATGAACAATTTATTATTGATGATGAGATTTTTAAATAAGTTGTTAATTTGGGAGATTGATAACTTTCACTGAATACTAATGATGAAATATATCGCATAGAGAAGAGAAGTATCACAGTACTATTACCTATATTCAATAGTGGTTTAAATAATGGGCAACATATCTTTCATGAGACAGAATCTATAGGTGTATGGGTACAAAACTGCTGGTAATAGCACTAGTCAGTTTTCTTTTTTCATTCCTTGTTCTCACTCTGTTCTATAAGTTTACTTTATTCTTGATATGGTTATTATTTTAAGACCTTTGTTCGTCATCTTATTAATTGCATCTACTGCTGTGTTGACTTAATGTGTACAAGATACAGCATAGTTACTTATTTGTACTGGATCCTACACTTTTAATAACGGACTAATTTTTGTGATATATTGTAAAATTAGTTTACGCAGTATCACATAGGTCGGAAAAACTCATACTGCCTTACGTAAGAAAATATTTAGGTAAAATTCAAATAACTTAATAACTGATAGTTAACGACTACTTATCCAGTTGATAGGCAGACGTACCAGTGATACAGACTGTATCTCATATTCTGCTACATTACTCTGAGCAATCAACAGATACGCTTTGCAGCGGCAAATGTATTTGATAATAGCGTGTTTTCATGAAATAAAACTTTTTCTGCAATTTCAATAATTTATGTTATATTTTATTGTTTAACAGACGAATCGAACATATGGGTCACGTTTCAACTGGATTTATTTCATACCTTTAATTGTAATTGGAGCATTTCTATTGATCAATTTAGTACTTGGTGTTTTAAGTGGGTAAGTTGAATCATATCTCACTAGTGTATATTCTACGTTCCAATATTCGCTGAACTGAATGGTGGTAGGTTAATAGGAGAACAGGGAATCGATTGTGATTTTATAACTTATGAATGTTGCCGAACATTGACCCATGTGACTAGTTGGTTCAAAAATATTTTTCACCTAAAAAAAACAGTGATTTGTTTTATGATGACTTGTAAATGGCTGAAACGAAATTACTATTGAATGGTATGCAATATAACTAAACAATATTTTTATGATTGTTATGCAACGTCACATAAACGATGTAACTTGGTGTAAAATGCATTGACGTTTCGAAGCGAAATGTACGGAGTTCGAGTTTTATTATAAGCACGGACACAGAGACATAACAATATGTGGTGGACGAGCACAAAACAGAATGAAACGCTTTTCCCGGACCCTACTGCTAGCTAAAACCATAGAATACAACACAACGTTAAAACCTAATAACACCTATTAGTAGCTTATAATTTAGCTAGGTGGTCAGAATAGTAGATTGATGTAAACTGAAATAACACTGAGTATAAAAGAGTATCAGACATAAGGTTAGTGTATATTACCAATCTGGAGCGACTTTTGAAATAATCCTGACAATTTTCCATGTTTACCGCCAGTCAAATGTTAGTTTTAGTGGGAAAAAAATAATAGTACATTAGTTCAAATAAAGTGTGTATATTATTTTCATATAACCTATGGCTTTTTGATATAAATTTAACATTTCTGGTATGTAGAATTAAAGGAACTCATCAATATGGCTGAAAAGCTTACCACTCACCTATTCTCCCACGACACTTTCTTTTTTATTCCATTTTCCTTTTCTAATAACTCTCTCGTCAACCCCTAAGATACCGGGTATCCAATGTGTAGGCACTGATATATTTATCAAAACTTCTGAGCTTAAATAACTCTGCTATCAAACTCGTACCCATCTGTAACGTTACCTGCAAAAATAACTGAATCTGTACTGGTTGACAGTTTTATATTACCCAATTCATTACAGAAAGCATCCGTTGTCTAAAGATGGCTTCCGAACAAATAAAAAGATGTAAGCTTTTAAAGACTTTTTATACCGGCGTATTTAGAACCAGAATATAAAATTATCACATTTACCGTGAATTCCTATGGGCCTTATTTCCCTGCCATGATTGAATAAAATGGCTTTCCGGAGCAATCTTTTCTCCTATAACTATATTATTATTTCATTTTCGCCAAAATCAGAGAGGCATGCGATAGGCAGTCAACATAGTTTTAAACTATTAGACGTGTCTTTGAAGCAATATTTTGAAACATGATTGTCTCATCCTTATACCTTAGTATTAACGTATTGGGTATCCAGCATGAGATTAAAATAAAAACTATATTTTCAAACCGCCGAATCTGAAATGCAATAAAGTGAACCTCAAAGTTTATTCGGTATCTGAAAAAAATAATCATCATTCAGTTTATCATTAATACGTAACTATTTAACTTGTGACATGATCTAATTTGAAAATATTACTGACCTATGACATCACACTGAAGTCATGCTCTGCTGTTTTTCAAACAAATTTTGAAATATCTTCCATTAAAGAGGAAGAATGTATTTGTAAAATCACAGTGAAAGAATTTGAAATAAATCCAACGTTTCGCCTAGAATTGTGGTCCAAGCTTTTTCAAGGAATCATCAAACCATTTCTTTCACAGCACCAAAGATATTATTCATTATTTATATGTGAGTAGTTGAAAATTCGATTTTTTTACGGATTGGCAGTTTCGTATCTGAAGTGTAAACTTGAACTTCCTAACTCTCTGATTGTGAAACAAAAAGGAAAACGTAATTACTTTATCCATTTTTTACTTTCTTTCCTAGTGAGTTTGCTAAAGAACGTGAACGTGTGGAAAAAAGGCGTGCTTTTTTGAAATTACGCAGGCAACAACAATCTGATCGTGAATTAAACGGTTATCTAGATTGGATACAACGAGCTGGTTAGTTACAATTTTATTATATATATAAATTAACTAGTATAAAAGCTTTGGAAAGATCGTTAAATACTGTGTGTTACAAAATGAAACTTAATGAAACAACCAGTAAAAACCTGGAAGCACTATTGTGGGACTTCTTAACAATAAACACATAGATTGCCCCACAGCAGATCAAACCTAGAATAATCAGTTACCATGATAGTCGATTAACCCTTAGACCATTGAGTTGATATGCACTGGCTTATCCTACTAACTTCAACCAACTACTTGGCCATTATTCATTGTCATTGGCCAGTCGCTGCTTTGCTGTCACATGATTAAACTCCATTGGTCACAGTTCATCTCTAATGATTACAAAACTTTCGAAAATTTTCAAAGATTTAAGTAATATTTATCATTGATTTTCCTATCTAAAATATATGATTCTCAAATCCATGCCCTATAAAATCCCAAATAAGAACGAAAAACATGTTCAGCTGCTTCAGATTGTTTTAGTCCATGTAGAAAGTTATCTCAATAAATCGTTTGATTTTCCGTTTATTTCTCATTAACTTCGAAAATGATTCTTGAAGATTTTACAAGATGTTATTTGAGAAATTCAGCTGTACTTAAAATAAGATGTTAGTCAACGATAGTATTGGATAATAGTCGTTTTATGTTGCATGTCAGACATGATACAAATTTCGTTATAAGGATGTATAAAAGTCGCTCAACATCGAGAATCGAATAAAGTTGAAAATGTAAGCCATTGGATAATAACTCAATGGCCTGAATGTTAGGTGCTCACTATGAGATCTGAGATTCTTTGGTCCGTTCTTCGATAGGGTTTTGGATGTGCACCGCTGAGTAATCTCATTGTGGAACACAACACCTATCAAGTTCTTCCAAGTTTATCAAAGCTTGTCTATGATATAAACCAAAAGCTCGCTTGGAACCGGGAACTCGGACCACTGATCTTAAATAAAAGAGTCACAAAGAATAACTTGCACAGAACTGACTCAATATCATGAGGAATTGTCAATGAGCACTGCTGAATACTCCGTCATTAGGATGATGAAGCCATTTTATGATTCCTTGGTTTTAGTTTAAGAGAATACTTGTTGAATAAATCTGTACAAACTATCCCACTAGATAAAACTGCACATATTCTATTGACAGAGAAAAATTACGTTTATTAGTCTTAGTCAAATGGTCACTGTAATCTCTCTTTAAGAAAAAACGCTACATCATCAATCTAGAAGGCACTATTTTTTCCATATCTTAACATTTAATCATTTAATTAACTTACATCTAAAATGTGTTAATGTTTGCATAAAAAAAACGAGAGAGAGTGAATGAATGAGTGAGAAAGTAGAAGAGACATAGTTATCCAAAATTTAGGATATAAATACCATCCGTTGTTCTTTGTTTAAATCAACAATAAACTGATTGTTTTTTGTTTATTTCTTTTTATCTCACATTATACCCATCATAATCCACAGGTTTCTTTTTATTATGTTTATAGGATTCTATCATTAGGCATAAATTAATTAACACTCAGTATATATATGTATAATGTACGTATGTTGTGTTGTTTCTTTATTGAGCAGAAGTAATAAGGTTGAACATAATTAGTATATTCATTTCACGTGAAAAATCTATATTAGCCAAGTTCATACGTTATTTGGCATATTTTTTGTTCCCACCGATTGAAATTTATATGTTATCCTATAAAAGATTTTGTTTATTTTACAAGTTGGTTATCAACAAAAAGTGATATTGTTTGTTATAATTTGTAATTCTTCAGTAGTAAACTACAATAACACCAACCAGCAAATGTCATGAAACGTTCGAAAGCATGAAGTGAAAATACAGTTGATTAATGTTTATAATTTGAGTTGGTCTGTGACAGTAATGTAATTGTCCTATATTTAAACTGGTGTCCTACTTTCTAAATGAAACTTTGTTTAAGTAGAAAAGTTACGGCTTTGTAGAAACTTTTATCATACTTTTATTTCCAAAATAGTCACTAGTGATAGAGGAGCACAGAGTGATATTTAATTGTGATTGATTGTATTTTATTTGGGTTGGTAAGCCCAAACTGTCAAGAAGTTGTAAACTAACATAAGACAATTTTCCATCGGCGTCTAATTTTTGTTTTCTATGTATGCATAGTTTTATGTGACTATTACCTTTATTTCTTGGTGTGAAAATCATCTTTACCTACAGCTCTACATAACCGATACACCTATTGTTTGGTTATTCTGTGATGAGATGTTGAGTGATTTCAGAAAGTACTTAGTGCTCAGGTTGTTGTACGTTACAGCATAAACTACCTAATTTTTCATTGACATCATGCACCGATCAATGTTAGGCCATTATTTAGAAACTGGAAGCTCTGGACAGCCGTTTCGTTCTAATATAAAGCTCCTCAGCAGTGCACATCCAAGATTCCGTTCGTGAGACTAGAACCAATAGCCTTCGGCCTCGTACACAAACACTCAACCTCTAGACAATTAACTTTATTGCCCCATGATCCTGATATAAATTATCAAACGTGAAATATAAAAATTTTTATTGAAGGTTTCTGACACACAAAACAATGACTTCATAAACTGTTGTTCTAAAACTATGATTTTTATGATAGTGTTGTTAATATTGTGTATTAATAAATGTATGACTTATTTGTTCATACCAAAGACATTTCAGTCACTTTTACCTCCACTGAGAAAAGAATAATAATCGATTAAAATATTAGCTGCAGGATTGAATATATTTTATTATTCATAATCGTGATTTAATTAATCAGTCTTTTTCAGTATATAGGCTAATTGAAAACAAGATATAATGTAATAGCTGTTTATATTTTATTTGCTTTTTAATAATGCCTAGCAGTAAAATGAAAAATGCTTGCTTCGGCTTATTTAGAACCATTAAGATGAAAATTTCTCGAACGTCAATGTCTGTATTGAAAACCTCAAGTTCACTGTTCACATTAAATCTATTTAATGAGTACCTGAGTCAAGATAGAAACAATATGTTATAAGGGTAAAACGCGAGCGTAGAAAAGAAATTTTTCGTTACTTCTAAAGTATCTCAACAA